TTTTTTTTTTTTTTTTTTTTCCTTTTTCAAGTTCGTAATTTTGAGTACTAGTCTCTTTTCATTAATTCAAATGAAAGTTTTGTTTCTTTAAAAAACAAAAGTGACTGCTTAGTACACAAAATTAAAATAGTCGCGCAATAAGAAAATGTGAGCTTATTAATTGTGATAGTTGCTTAGAATAGTATGTATATGTGAACAGTGAGTCCTTCACCTGTATGTACAAGATCCGTGTGAATTTGATTAAAGTTTTAATTGCATTTTTTACTAAAGAGAAAATGAGAACATGCTGCTGGGTCATATCCACCACGTTGCGAGATATGGCTAGGTGATAAAATTGGCAGATAAAGCTTACTCGCCACTTGTTGGAAGACAATTTTATCTTAAACTTAGACTCTCATACTAACAACAAAGAGATAGATATTCATTAAATCATGGATATCATGTAATTTTTAACAATTATGAAATAATTGTCAGATTTCTGGGATATTTTCTACCACAAAAGGACAAACCTGCACTCTGGGAACTAGATTCAGATCAGCATTGTAAAGTAGGGAGGAACGGGCGAATCTATGCAGAAGAAGATGGAAGGTAAACATTCTATCCGGAAATTGCCTGACGGCTATTCCATTTTCTTTGACTCTAAAAGATAGTGTGGGAATCCTCCTTTTTTATTTTTATATTTATTATTATTTTTAAAGAAATGCTGCTCAACTCAATAATGTATTGATTATTTTCTTCTTTGTTCCTTCTATGCTGTTGACCCTAATATTTAATTAGATGGGTTAGGATAAATATCATTATTTTCACATTTTTTTATACTTACCTTTACTCATGGACTTAAGATACAAATACAAGGTCCAACCATATAAAAGTAAAGAAGTAAAAAATGTAAAGGATTTAATTATAAGACATTTTAACTCAGATTCCTTGTTAAACGACCACTTTCCTACAGCAAAGCAAATTGTTGATCTAATAACATAGGGGCTCCTAAAGTTACAATTTAACGAGATAATCAATAAGCTCACTATGGAAGATATCTTGAAACCAGCTTGAGGGGAGGGTTGGTTATTTCTTCTTTAGTTAATCAATATTGTTTTGTATTTATTATATCATATTATTTTCTGATCTATAAATGGGTGGTTCTTCCCTTTAAAAAACTCATTTCTTCTCCAAGTGAATACACCAAAATATAATTTTCTCTTGATATTTTAGATATAAATCATAAGTGAAAGTGCTCTAGTTCACTATGACACAATATGCTGTCTTCATGATGCTTTCATTGGTTCCTCGTATATATTATGTTTGTTCTTGTTTGACTGAGTTATGAGAGTCTGATGTTTAGGTCAGCATTCAAAAGATCCTTGTCAGATGGTAATATTCTCCACGAAAATTGCTCACCAATGTTATCTACAAACAGAAGGCTAGAAAAACATTCAAATTCAGTATTATCCAGACAATCGCGAGGAAGTAGCAAGGTTCTTTTGGAATCGTCTCCAGAGACATCCTCTTCTGGAAGTGATATAGCATTGTCAAGGTTTGTTACCACCATCTCTATTGTCACGTAATTCATAGGCTCCCTTCTCTTAAGATTTATGCAACAGTTCATTTTTACCAGAAGGTTAGATGCATCTTCATTAGACCAGAAAAGAAGAAGAACCACAATGTTGCTGAGTACCGTTTGCATTTGTTCATGATTATGATATGCAATTCTAGGTGGTAGTTGTATCTGGGATTTTATATGCTTGGGGGCATGATTATTATTATTATTATTGAGTTTGTGTTTGGATTCTATATAGGCGAAGCCTATGAGATTGAAATTTGTAAAAATTAATGTGTCGTCTGTGAGGTGGAAGTCTGCCATTTGTGATTTTACTTTCTCAGCCCATGGGGATAACAGATGGATGCCTAAAAATGATAAATAGCTGTGTTTGTTTTGATAAAATTTTCCACATGAATTGGATAGAATTTCAAGAAAATGAACGTAAACTTCTTATTTTCATCCCAAATCTCAACAGTTTCACCCCAATTAAATTATTCTCTATATTCTACTTGATATCTTTCGGGCAGTGAGCAGTGTTGTTGATAATGATAACTGAATAGTGTTTGTTGAATGTCTTAATGTAGGTATACTCCCTCGATGCCTCAGCGGCGAATTTTTGGGACCATTCAAAGAGAAAGAGGCTTTGAAGGTAACCATATTTTCTTTTCAGAAGGGGACGCTACGAGTTGCTCAAACTTTGTTGACCTGGACTGGCTTTCATCCTCTGGGAATTCATGTGAGGAGGAGTCATTTGAGAGGTAATCATACCACAAAGTTAAATATTTTATAACGGGAATATCCGACTACAGGGAATAACAAACAAGATAGTGAGACAATTAAATCCTCTACCACAAAAAGCAATCGAAACAGGACATAAATAGTCTCCCCTTCTACAACGTAGCAAATGAGGTCAATAATAGCAACAAAGTAAATAGAGTAGAGAAAGAGAGAAACATTATACTAGTTCGATCCAAACTCGCAATTGCATTCAGTGTTCTGTAACTTAAGTTCTACTACGTGGAGACTATAAATGACCCTCACCTTACTCTACAAATCATACTTACAAGAAACCACGACAATGGATACCTTGACTTCTAAGCACCACAAGAATGAATACCTAGAGAATTACAGATAAATAAGCCTTCAGACCCACAAAATATTGTTCTGCTGCACTTCCCTCTAATGTTCAACACCTACACCAAAGAAAAACCTTAATAAATAAGAAATGATTATAATTGATGCACTAGAGGGATCAATATTGTGGCGTTGAGATGATATACCGAATGTCTCAACGCTATGGGTGTAGTAGCATGCTTCTTTCCGCTTCTTGCGATAACATGTAATGCTCTCCACAACATTTGGACTCTGTCCTCTTGGTTTTGCTAGCTCTGCAACGTTGTTTTGGCTCGATAATCCTAACATAAGAATAGTTTCCAAAGTCAAAAGATCTTGGTTTACAATTTGTTGAAACTTCATATTTCCGGACGGTTATAGTTTTCTTTTACTTGTATTCTCTGGTGACTTTGAGAATAATTTTTTCTTTTAATTATGATCTTGGCTTAGGACTAGGTCATTGCATTGTTCCTGCATTATGATGAGTGAACTCAGACTTCTCTTTTTCCAATGATTATAGGTCCTATGCGTCCAACTCTCCAACTGCCAGAGAGTCGTCTGAAAATGTTATCACTGGAGAATCGACTCCCTCTGTGAGTGAATATGGTTCAAGCATGAAGGTAATTCACTTTTGCGTTTTTTGTTTCCGTCTACATGTTATGAACCATTCATTCAGATTTTTATAACTATTTTCGATTGAAATAATAACTTGTTCTTCTAAGCTTGCTTTATAAATGAAGGATTTTTCTTGGTTTTGAATGGTGTAGGTAATGGAGCAGAATGCAATGGAAGTTTCCCAAGTGAACACACAGAAACTTAACGTTGTGGAGGAATATTCAGAGAACTTTGTGCAGTGGGTGAAATATGGGGAGACCCTCTGTTATTGAAGCCTTTCTCACAATCTATCCCTATTCTCACCATCATGACAGAACGCTGCCAAAATACAAGTGCGTGCCAACGGGTGAGCAGAAACAAACTCTGGGGGAGCACTGGTTCTTCCAAACCAACACTCATTCCTCCTATTCAAACATCCACTTCATTCCCAACTACAAAAATGGTAAATAGTGAACCTCTAAATCTGAAAATAATAATAACAATAATTCTTTTGGAGCACAAATTTTTTCCTCCGATGCTAGGCTATGGGCATCTCTAGGTAAAATTATGTAAATATTTCCCCTCTTAAAATCGTGCTTAGAACACTGCAGATCCATGATTCTTTTTATTCAATGTTATTTTGGGATTTTGATTTTGTAACATCGTGCTCTAATTGACTTTTTGAAATGTGTAAACTATAAATAAACCTCTCCAATTTGGAATTCTCCATTTTATTCCTGTTGCTCTCTGCCAATATCACAAACTTGTATGAGAATTTTCACAGCACATAATTTATGAGGGATACCATATTTTAACCCACGAATCCTATTTATAAGTTAAAATTTTATATACACAAATTGTGTACATGGATATAACCATTCTAGGAAAATTTGATCATTTACTAGTTATTTGCAACTACAATTGATTCAAACATAATGAATTTCATGATCAATTTTTACACAAATATTGAAAGAAGCTTTGTTTTTAACATAATGATTTAATTGCCTCCATTATGATTCTGTCGAGTTGAGGTTATGAAGTCTTATGGACCTGAGTAAATGTTTTTCTTCCTTATATTTACGCGGATTATTATCTTTAGTGGATGGGATAACCAGAAAACAAATTTGTCTGAACGAATTAATGACCGCATCTCCGACAGGAAAAACTTGACTTTTAATTTTGGATGGTGTTTTGAAATGGAAGAAGGGTGAGGTGTGGAATGGAATTAATTGTGTGAGGTAGATAGAAGGAATTAATGTGTCCCCAATACTGAATTGGAAGCTCCTCTTTAATGCTCTTTAGGCCCCCCCTATTTCTTCCCCATCCATTTTTTTTTTTACACTGAAAAAAAAAATTAAATAATGACAACGATAATAATAACTCTTTTCACGTGAAATTTCCCACTGAAATAACATCCTAACATTCAACCCCCTTCACTTCAATTTATGGATTTGTTTTCAGGAATGAATTTGGGCTTTTCACTTTGGTCTTTATTGGCATTCCCATCTTTTAGGAATCTTATCATACATATTATTACTTTTTTTTTCTTTTAATTAGTGGGTCAATTAAGTGCTTCAGAATCTTCACTCCAATAACTCCAAATTTAAATAATCGCAACTTTGAGCATCATTAGCCAATAATAGTAATAATTATATGATTGAATCTGAGTTAAAAGAAAAAGAAAAAGAAATGAAGAAATTGAATTAATCCAAGGGAGTGGGAGAATGGGAAGAGGAAGGGGAAGTAGTTTCCTTGGTGCCAAGATTGTGCTTGTTGTTATGCATCCAAACCTTAAGAACTCTCCTCTTCACTCCAATCTCTTCACACAATTGTTGCGCCACACTCTCCTCTTCCTTCTGAATCTTCCATCCAATTTTCTCTGCAAACCTCAGCATCCTCTCCTTCTGCTCCCCCGTGAACTTCGTTCGGAATCGCTTCTTGTTCGTCATTTGCCCCGAGTACGCCCTCACCCCTGCTGCCTCCTCCTGCTCCTCACCGCCCCCGCCAAGCATGTTGTACGGCATTATCATGTGGTGGGGTTGTGCTGTCATTGCTCTGGATGATAGGAATGCCGCCCCCGCCGCAGTTGGGTAGGCGAACGTGGTGGTCTCAGGCATGGCGATCATGTTCTTACCCCCAACGAGAAGCTTGCGGCCGAGGAGGGGGTGGTCGATCTCTTTTCGATGGAAGTTTCTATGGCAGTTGCACGCGGAGCATGTGAGTGCTTCAATAGAGCCTTCTTCTCCACTAGGCATGAACTCGCCGCAGCCATCCGTGGCATTTCCTCCCATGGAGGCAGCATGGTTTTTGAGGCACTCTTTGTATTTGACATGCTTCTTGTTATTGTTGCTGTTGTTGTTGTTATTACGGTGGAGATCTATTTCCATGTGGAAGGGTGGGAGTGGATTGCCGCCATTGACCGCAGATGCGGCGGCAATGATGTGGTTGCAGGTGGCAGAGGGGTCATGGTGGTGGTGGCCGCCATAGCGAGCATTTAAAGGGATGGGAATGGGAGGATGTTCAGTAGTCTGCTCCATTATGACTACTAATGGAGAGGGTTTATTTAGGAGAAGAAGAAAGAAGAGAGAGCTATGGTTATGAAGATAGGTGAAGGAAGGCAGTTCTAAATAAGTAAGAGTAACTAGGAGCTTTTCTTTTCTTTATTTTTTTTATAAAAAAAAAAGAAAAGAAAAGAAAAGTTTTTTAACCGACAAAGTGGAGAACACAACACAAGACAAGGATGTAATGAGCTAATTAATTAGAAGAAAACCAGGCATGAGGTGAGAATAGAGATAAAAAGAACGGATGAGATGAGGATGTTTTTCGAAGCCAACCTCAACACATTCATTCGTAACTTCACAAATTACCAATATAATATTGTATATGTATTGAAACCCTCTTTCATCTCATTTATTTATACGTTTAATTATGTATTCTCGAGCCTTTGACCTAGAAAGAAAGGACCATACCTTGTTACCTCCGGTTGCCTCAACTACACTTAACAATTTCAAACTCTAAAATAAGTATAAAAAGCTATAAAAAGTTATGTACCTCATCATCATCTTTCTTTTGTGGTTTCTTCTAGAGAAGATTACATTAAGATTCAAATTCACTTTATTCTTTTATTATCCATTGGTCAATATTCCACCTCCAAAACACCCAAAACACTGTCAACTACATGCATAAAGATGTAGATATTCTTTCCAAAATTTGTTGTTACATATAAGTGTTTACCTTTAATTTTCTATCACTTCATAATTGTTGATTTGCTCATCACAAATCTCAACTGGTAAACTTTTGTCTGAATCCTATTAGCATTTGATGAACCTGGTAGATATTACTTAACATAGGGCTCTTTCTTCTTCTTTTTTTTCTTTTTCCTTTATTTATGTGAACATAAGAAAAGCATATATAAGTCACCTCAAGTACTTGATATATCCTGACTTCAAGAAAAAACATAAATAATGTCCCGATTAAGAGAGGCTAAATGAGGTAGGTGGGTGGCCATACAAAATTGTTCTAATAAGTGGATATTGTTCGGTGGGTCTATTTTGAATCTTATACTTTTCTTTCATAATAATTAAGGTGTCGTGTCTTTCTCAACTTTCTCAAACTAATCTCTCTCTCTCCAAATTCTCTTTAAGGATATTCCATTACTCTCTTCCAATCATGCATTATTCTCCGCTCTTCTACTAATTACTTGTGCAACAAAAACTATATCATCTTCTTGAAACAATCTTCAAGCAAACCCAACTAGTTAATATCCATCTCCAGTTCCCATTTCTCTCATGTTATATAATAATATAAAGAACTCCCTCTTTTTGAGTTCAAACCTTCCAATTGCAGTCCAAAATTAGGAAAACCTATGTGATTTGATGCGTTGATAAAAGCAAATAGCAATGCATTATTCCATTGAAAAAGCAAAAAGAAAGAGAGGAATGCATATGCATATCAAGGGAACATTCTCTGTTGAATATGGGCTTTGGTTAAAGAGCTATAAGCCACGTGAGTGCATCCAATTAGCTTCACGTAACTCTCCATTCTTGGAGATTCAAAGCATGCAAATGGGCCATTATTACTCATTTTGCCCATTTGCCTAAAGTAAAAGACTACCTTTCCTTTTACTTGTTTTGCCTTTAGTATATATTCTCAAATCCATACCCTTTTTCTTGATATGCAGGAAACAAATTCAAACAATGAAGCTTTGGATAATGCATTGAAGAGTTAATCTACTCATTTGCTTAAGGATGAGTTTGGAATTCCTTTTGACAGAGTGAAAATGATCTTGAACAATCAAAATTTTCTTTTCAAATTGTTTATAGTATTTGGTTGTATGGTCAAGAAAGATAATTTGAATATTCTAAAAAAGCACTTTAAAGTGCTTTTAGAAGGTGTGCTCTGCTTGAACATGCTTTTTAAGTCATTCTAGATTCATTTTACATGTGTATATCTTTCTACAATCAATCATATAAAAAAGATAATTAAGAAAAAGTACCTTGTATTCTATCTTCCCATCTTGAAGGCTATTTTGGTAATCAGCTTTGTTTCTTAAACTTGAACGTCATGCAGTCTTTATTACATCTTGAATGCTATTCTGAATGTTAAGCCAAATTTGAAAAACAGAAACAAGATGAGTTCTCTCGTTAGTTGATGAATTTGGATAGATTTCAAAAAATAAAAATGTGTACTAAAATATAAAGAACATTAGAAGAGATTGTTATTCTACAAACATTATCCACCATCCAGTTAACTGCTGGTTCTTATAAATAAGCTGAAAATAAATCTTAAATAGAAGAAATCTCAACTGACTATATACAACAGATCCAATTCAAAGGATACCATGGTATGCCAAAACTATCTCTACATCACAGTAAGATATTAATTTCATTTTAAAACAAAAATCCTCTTGAGGTATGGTGATATCAGGAGAAACTCTAATCTACGTCAGAATCTTTAGTCCATACTAATTCTTACAACAAAAGGCTTCAGCCTTTAAAATACAGTTTCCTGAATTCATCATTGGTTTTTGGCTTCTCATCCTCTTGTTCTGCGGTCCTTGGTTTATCTGCTGTCCAACCAAGTGCTCTCACATTCCTAGGCACTGCGAACGTGTTCTTTCCCTTAAGCTCAACTTTGTTACCTCCGTCCTTCCTCTCAGCAGGTGGTTGCTCATTGGCTTTCCGAGGCTTTGCAGAACTTACTGACTCGGATGTCTTGCCTCCACTAGCTCGATCCGTAGTGTGGCCTCCCCCTACAAGTGAAGGTAATCAGAGACAGAATTCTTAGCTTTTGTCTCATTCAGAGGGATGCCAAACTTTGTGATATTACATAATGACAATTATAAAGCTGATGAGAGACAGCAACAGTATCCCAAATGTCATTACAATCTACCTGACCTAAGCGTTTAGTTTGGTCGTGATCTGACATTTCAGAGAACCATATACTATTACTATGATTGAAGTTATCAATAAAGCATTCCCTATGATTCCCACCAACAGCATACAGATTAGATCATGATAAAGCTGTAAATTTCCTACAACAATATCCCGAATGTTCAATAGAGTTCTAGCTGGCATGCAAATGAGTTCTGACCATGAGACTGATAGATGATGCATTTAATGTAGGGGTGAATCCATCATTATCCATAGCAGAATGCATCCAAACTTTTTGAGTAAATATGAACAGAAAGGTACTTTCTTTATTCAAATAGAAAGGTTGTGAACATAATCTAATTTTTCTAATTTGATGACAGTGCATACTCTACTAATCAAACAACTGAAACATACAAATCCTCAGTCTCAGTATGAGCCAGCAGTAAGATACCATTTTCAGAAGCAAAAAGTTCGGCTAACGGGTTGCAAATTGAACCACTTATCCAAAAATAATTCAGTGCAGATAAATTGAACCATTTTCTAATTTAAGTGACGAGGTTGTTGCATGAGAACTTTACTCTAAGCTCAAGTGATTTTAAGCCATGGCCTCTGATAATTTCGAAGCTGATGTAGTGTTGTTATAGATAATACTGTAATTTTCTTTTAGTTGAATATTTTGGTGGTAGTGAATTTTACTGAGTAGTGTTTGCTATCCCCTATATAAAGAAGCGATTTGTTTTTGTTTGCACACATCATTAATATCAATTTCATTTGTAAATAAAATTTCCCTTTGAGGATTTTTTGGGGAACGCTTAGGTTGCATCATTAATATCAATTATTCTCTATAAATAAAAAATCAGGCTTTGAATTCAAACATCATTGATGGTAATTCCATTTGTTAATAAAGATTTTCCCCTTAACGATTTCTGGAGTATTTAGGCTACAACATAATCCAATATTTAACTATTGACAAGCATACCCACATATTTAACTATTGCCGAGCATTTTTCCTGATAAAATGGATATAAGATTTCCAATACTAAAAGGTAAACAAGCATATATTTCCATTCCATTTTTTTGTTCTGAGAAAAACCCTCACATATCATATGCTTCTCCCACCCTTGTCGAATAATTTTAAGGCATGTCATTAAGACTTTTAGGCTTTTTACCAAGTGTACCACATTTTGTTAGATTGTTCTAACTATTTGATTGTATGTTATCTAATTTTCATCTTTATTTATTTATTTATCTTTACTTTGTTATACCTTTCTTAGGATCTGACCGTGCAATGCTTATCTTTTTCCCAAGCAACAACTGCTTGTTTTTTGCAACTGCAGCATTGAGATGCGCATCATCAGAGAAATCTACATAAGCTAGTCCCTACAAATAAGAATTCTATCCATCAGTACTACAACAAAAAATCATGCCATCAGTTTACAACCTGTAAGGAGGCTAAAGCTCAATCAAAATACTCTTAAAAATGCACATGAACAAGTTAGTGTACTACCTACAGAACAGAAATACATAAAATTACATCCAAAAATAAGAAGTACAGTCACAAGTTTAGCAGGGAAAGCTGAAAAAGTGTACAAGACTTCAGATTCTACAAAAAGTAAAAATAATAGGTCACATTAAGCAGAGAAAGAAGAGTAACAAAATAGTCCACGTCCATAAATCATCGTGGACATTTACTATGAGTTATACTTCCTCAATGAGAGGAATGGTTACCATGAATTCATTTGTCTACCAAAAATCATTGTTTTCCCCTTCTTTCATGATTTTTCATTTCTACCTCTCTTTCTTCTGTTTCTTTCAATTTTGGTCACGGTATTATGCCTAAAATGTAAACACGGGATAACAAAGAGTATAACGTTGATCCACCTTCACTAACACAATTTCTTGAATTAGACATCAACTAATATAAACAAAGGCACTAATAGTGCTTTCATCCTATCTATTGAAAACAAGAGCATAGAAGTCGCTGACAGGCAGGGTATTTGACTTGCTCTTCATACTCCCATATGTTTTTCTTTCTTTCTTTCTATTTTTTTGCCAAGTAGAAGGACTTGGCGTAACCCCTGGCTCAAACCCACTTGTTATAGCCGTGAGCTGGTTACTACTTTAAGTCGAAGGTGGGAAAGGGGTAATGGTTAGTGTCTGAAAAAGTAAGAAACAAAATGTGGATTCAAGTTTAAGTGTTGAGTCATTAGAGCTATAGCACAGGATGTGTGTGAAATAGTGTGGATACATCAACTTTAGGTTTCAGTAATACCACGCCAACTAAATTGCAGTGTGATAATCAAGTTGCATTTCCATTGCGTCTAATCTAATATTTCATGAGAAGACTAAACATATTGAAATGAATTGTCATTTCATTTGTGAGAAAATACAACAAAAGTTAGTGTTTACAGGATATGTGAAGATTGGAGAACAATTAGGACATATCCTTATCAAAGCTTTAGATGAAGAAAGAATAAACCATCTTTGCAACCAGCCAGGCATAATTGACATATTTGCTCCAGTTTGAGAGGGAGCGTTATAATATATGTTATTATGTACAGTTGATCTTTATTGTAATTGTAAATTCCTTTAGTTTAGGTTCTCCTCTATGCCCATATATATATATATATATATATATAAGTATTTTTCTCAGTACAAGTGTATTTTAAGTATTTTCCCCAATACGAGTACATAGGTATTCCATGGAAAACGTTTATGTCCTTCCAAACACACAAATATACAGGAAACCAATTCTCGACCATCCTCTATCAAACTATAAGAAGCAAGCATTCGGACTTGCCAAAAAAATCACAGTATGCAATTAGTAAGAACTTTTCATCAAGTACTATAACAAGACAATAAATGAAAGGAAATATGTGGAGAGAAGAAGAGAGCGG